CCCCAAAACCCCAAAACCCCAAAACCCCAAAACCCCAAAACCCCTGAATTTATAGCAGATATTGAAACATCTCTTTTCTAATAGTCTCCATGATCATACTTGGTTAAATATACAGCAACGTAGTACATAAGCGTTCCAATGAATCACAGGACTCCAAATAGGATCTTAAAGATATGAAGTACAGACTGTTCTTCCTCCTCCTTATTGTATTTGTTCTGTAAATGAGGGTGCATTCCCGATTCGAGAATCTTTTGGAGCTGTTCTCGTTCCATATCAGTTACATGATAGAACCCTTCTTTGATACTAAACCTCGTTACTACATTGGCTACTTACTCGAAATCTCTATAAGCCTTTGCATATTTTCTCTCGTTTTGAGGAGTGAGTTCAAACTTCTCACAATAGTTGTGATACAGAATATCATAAGCAGTGATTATGTTCTCTTGAATACTGTTACCAACCAAGCAGTTTGTCAAGAGATTGACTCATTTTTGAAGTGAGAATGCTCTCTCTTCTTCAGAGAATCTTCTCATGGAAAACTCATCGATATCATCAAATTCATCATAACCTTGACTTTTGAATTTCTATAAGATAATCAAAGATTTTACATAGTTCTTTGAGGTTCTCTTCATTGGCTTTCCAGAGGCTATATTTCAATTTAGATGAAATTTTACAATCAGGATCAGTATAATTTCTTCTGTACCCTTTATAATTTCTCTGACTAAATTATTATGCAAGTTAAATACTTGTAAGCAGTGTTTCTTAACTCCATCTCAGGATGATCAAGGCATTCAAAGATATCTCAATAGTCTGCTAAGCAGAGGTTCTCTCCTCTGTATATTAGATCTTTAGGTATAGTCTCCACCTTTTTCTCTGCAGCACTTTCATATCCTTGGTTTCCATACTGGTTAGGAGTATGCTTGACAATCCAGTGGAACTCGAGGAAATCTTCTGTCTCAAATCTCTTGCTTCAAATTCTTCATTGCTTTTTGTCTTCGTACTTCTCAAGGCCAGCAGTCACATTGAGCTTATTTTGGAAGTAAGTTAGCACTAATTGTTCATTAAACAGAGGACATTTCTCGATATCTATGGGTTTGAGAGGAAGGCTTACCAGTGCGGATGTCATATAATTCGAGAACAGGAAATACTTCATACTTTAATTCTTCCAGGACTTCATAAGAATGTCTCATTGAACAATAGTCGTAAACAAATTTTCCATTCTATAAGGGATCTTTTGGGTTGACTTACTGTGAAGAAAAGGGTTATCATAAATATCAAGAGTGATTTCATCTTGGGATTTTTTATTGTTCAAAATATTTAAAAATTTATATTTTTTGAGAATTTCGAGGGGTTTTGGGGTTTTGGGGTTTTGGGGTTTTGGGG